GACCTACCCCCCGACCTACGTACAGTTGCGGACCTGCGCCTTTTTCGCCGAGCCCTGAAGGCCCATCTATTCCGTGCGGCCGGCCTGGCGTAGTTTGATTATGTTTTAGTGGGGTTTTTTGTATGGGTGTGTTTTTAGAACAGGCCCGTTATTTAATTTGATTTTAGAACTGCCTATATTTATCATGGTTTTTATTATCACCTGTTCACCGCCCTGAGTCCCGTAAGGGAGATAGGGCGGTATATAAATTCAATCAATCAATCAATCAATAAATAAATAAATAACTGGCTGTTATATCTGGTTTTACAGAAAGCTATCCTTAACCATCCAGAAAGTTCAGTTCAGAATGTCATAGCCTAGATAGTAACAAGTCCAGCTTAGTTTGTGCATATAATGCCTCTGCAGCAGGAGCTACACTGGCCTTCTGCAATTGAATGTGTTGGTAATACACTCTAAAGCTCTTTATTGCCTAAGAAGACTCTTTACTTCATACGGAATGCATCTATCCAATGAAATCCAAAAGGAAGGCCAGGCCTTGCTGAGCAGTTGCTACTCTGACTGTGAACATTACCCCTTCTTGGGGAAGTTCTCCATAAATTACCAGGCCTTTTCTTACTAACATTTTGGAGGGCCATTAACATCTGGAATGGAAGGCTTATCACTGCTCCTGAAAAAAATGGTGTCATATGTTTTCAGGTATATTGCAGATTATATGTGTGTTACCTGGAGGTGGTTCTTTTGTTACGTTTTTTCACCTTAAGTATTGAAGTCTTGTAAGCCATTCAGAGTAATCTAGGCTGGAGCACCTAGAAGGTTGAGAAATAATATAATGGCCAAGTATGGCCCTTGGCCTGATGAAAGTTGCACATCCCTATTTTAAACCTTTTGTTTCTGTCTCTGTTCTTATGTCAACTCTTGAAATAATTAATTGGGTGTTATGTGCATGAGAGAGCACAGTAAAATAAAGAATTTATCTCATATGGATAAGAACTTCTATGCCAAAAGTAACAATATAATAACACTACTTCATAACTGGTAAAGCAAATTCAGTTTTTAAAGATTTTTCTAGTAGCTCTACCAGAAAAGATAGTGCAGCCTATTTATTGTACAAATTATCCAAGATCCAGTTAACATTTGGAAGTACTTAATTCACAATATCATATCGGATTACGTAGTGAACACAATACAATACAACTTAAAATTTGAGTTGAGAGGGATAGTATTTACTATAAGGCAGGAGAAACAAGTATATATCTTTGGGAAGAGCTTTATTTCACCTTTTGATTCATGCACATTTGCCCTTTCTTTCTGTTCCACTAGGAGAAGGAGTAGGTGCATTATTTATTTTGCCTAGTTTATAGAAAGCATATTTATTCTGAGATATTTTTTCATAAGAGTGATTAGTTTCTAAATAAAGATTTTTATCCAGTGCAATTGGATTTCCTTTCATGGTCTCTCTCACTCCTTTCCTGTCACCCAGAGCTGATTTAAAGAGTCCCCCTAAGTAATAAATGTGGGGATAGAGGAGAAAGAAGAATTTTATTCTATTTTGACTGACATTCCTGGTGTTACTGTATTTTTAATATTTCAGATTCGTCGTCTGAGAATTGAAATTGAAAAGCTTCAGTGGTTACATCAGCAAGAGCTCTCAGAAATGAAACATAATCTGGGTATAAAAATTTCAATATTTTTGTTAAATATTTTTGTGGTTCATAGTCTGGTATGTAATGGAACATCTGTGCTGATCTGTTTTTCATATGTATAGTCAATTATAGTGGTCCAGCTCAGTTGTCACAGTACATCATCATGATAGCCAATAAACCTCTTAAATTGATTGGTAATTATTTCTTGAATGACACCTAAAATAGTGGATTGTTTCAAAAATAAAAAACATGGAAGTTCTTAAGACCTTATACAGTAAGCTTACATATATAAGTATATACATTATAGTGTAAATTTGTCGACCTTGATTGTAATAAATTAGTATGTTTTATTCCCTTTAAGGTAGCGTACCCTTATTACTTGCAGATCAGCTATTTATGTACTGTTAGATTACATGCTGTTCATCTGTTTCCTAGAACTCACAATGGCGGAAATGCGACAAAGCTTAGAGCAAGAAAGAGATCGTTTAATTGCAGAAGTGAAGAAACAACTGGAATTGGAAAAGCAACAAGCTGTGGATGAGACCAAAAAGAAACAGTGGTGTGCCAACTGCAAAAAAGAGGCCATCTTTTACTGTTGTTGGAATACCAGCTATTGTGACTATCCTTGCCAACAAGCTCATTGGCCAGAACATATGAAATCTTGTACACAATCAGGTAATTGGCTAGTGTTTCTACAGTTACATTATTTAACTTTCAATCTATTTGTGAGTGAATATGACCTCCATTTTTAAATTTGTGTGGTTTTTATTTTAGCTACTGCAACACAACAAGAGACAGATAGTGAAGTTAGTTCAGAAACATTAAACAAAGCATCCCAACCTGGTTCCAGTGCACAGCCTGCACCTACAGAAACAACCAGTGCTCCAAAAGAAAAAGAGGCAGCTGTGGAAAAAAGCAAGGAAAGTGTTACGGTAAGTATGTCCTCCTTGGTGCATCCTTTCTTTAAGGTTTATTTTTAAAGCTGTACAAAGCAATAAATGTTTGGTTTTTTATTTTATTTTATTGAGGGCTGGTGAAATACCTTGGTCTTTATTTTACCTTTACAGAGTTAGTTCTTAAGGATCCAGGACGTATCTAATCTTGTATGTGCTACCATATTTTTTTTCATCGCATAATATGATGAATTCTCACATGATTTTGCCCTGGTTCCACCCACTTGGAGGTGTAGTGACTGCTCAGGCTCA